CCATGGTCCGTCAATCCTTACTCTAAGGCTCAATTTGTTCCTATCCCCTATAGTGTTGAACTGGTTAGTTGTCGTTATCTGCTGTACTATGCTAGTAATCCAGATGTAATCGTGGTCAGTTAGTTCCAAATCATCAGTAACACTACATAATTTACTACACACTAATAGAGACTGCTTCTACACTAATCTCCAAACTCTCTCACTCACCATGTTCTCGGTCACGGTTACATCACTGCCTGATTTACATTAATCCCTTATTCCACATCTCAAACCTCAGTGTGACCTCCAACACGTATACTATTTACATTCCTGAAGTCTTAGGCAGAGTCCCTCTGGTACCTTCACTGCACTGATTTTGTTCTTGTTGCTATTTCTCTCTTCTGAATTCATGCTCTGTTGACACCGAGGAATTCAATTTGTGGAATAAAGTCCATTAATCTCCACCCAGTGAGAATAATAATCTACAATGATTAGGTAGATGTTTCCCTCTCAAGTTGAATAAATCCAGATCTAATTTTTCCAAGATTTAGTTGGAATGGTTGGCAGATGACATGCTGCAATAAAGTTTTCCATGGCTGCTGAAATTCAAGGCCTCTATTTTGTTTCCTGTACACCTGCTCTGTATTTGGTGATATGTTAACTACTTTCATGTGTTCTTTAAAAGGTAATCATACAGACATTAGTTTTCAATAGGCAATCAGTGATCCTAAGAAAGTCATCCACAATTGCTTCCAATGCTCAGTTTTGTAGAATACATTCAGGCTAGCAGAGACCATGTGCCTATTTAAGTCACCTTCATTCAACTAGTTTCTTCTGTGAAGCTGACAAAATATTGACTAATATATATAAAAAGATCTTCTTTTCATTGCCAGAGTGTTGTCAGAATTGGATGAGGCACAGTTTTTTCCAGTTAAACATTCAGAAGCTATTATTTTCAGTAATATAAAGCAAAGAAATGCAGATACTGGAAATCTGAAACAAAACAAATTGCCAGAGAAACTCAGCAAGTCTGGCAACATCCATGAGAGAAAGCAGAGTTAATGCATCAGATCCAATGGCCCGGCCCTTCTTCAGAATATTCTGGACCCAAAATGTTTACTCCACTTTCTCTCCACAGATGTGACTGTGCAGGCTTGGAGGGCTAATACCTGTATGTCATCCAATTTAGTCTATTGCATTCGCTGCACCCAACGTGGCCTACTCTACATTGGAGAAACCAAATGCAGACTTGGTGATCACTTTGCAGAACACCTCCAATCAGTGCGCAAGTATGACCCAACATTCCCATAGCCAGCCAGTCATTTTACTTTCTAACACTGATTTACTCCCACTACCTGGATAGGGTCTTGACCGATTTCTAAACAGAACCCTGCTCGCATGCCCACTTGTCTGTCCTTGGCATGCTGCAATGCTGTAGTGAATCACAGCGCAAACTAGAGGAACATCTCATCTTCAGACTGGACACTTTACTACCGTCTGGACTTAAGATCATAGAATCCCTACAGCATAGAAACAGGCCCTTTGGCCCAACAAGTCCACACTGACCCTCAGAACATCGCACCCAGACCCATCTCCCTAATCTACACGTCCCTGAACACTATGGGCAATTTAGCATGGCCAATCCACCTAGCATGCACATCTTTGGACTGTGGAAGGAAACCGGAGCACCTGGAGGAAACCCACGCAGACACGAGAAGAATGTGCAAACTCCACAGACAGTCACCCAAGAGTGGAATCAAACCTGGGTCCCTGGTGCTGAGGCAGCAGTGCTGACCACTGCGTCATTGTGCTGCCTCAAAATCCTCAGACTGTGAACCTATTTCTTCCCTTTGTTTTAGCTTTACTTGATATATTCTGTCACTACGTTCCCTCTCTTGCCAACCCCCACTGCAGTGGGACCACCCGTTCTTTGCACTTTGGCAATTGAACACACCATTGTTCTGCTATTCTCACATTCCAATCACTGAATGCAGTTTTTATTCTCCCCCAGCACTCCACCCAACACTATTGCACAAATGCTGCCCCTTCCACACTTTTCATCAGAGCTGTGGAACAGTAATCCAGACTCAATGTTAGCATGCTCTCTGCCCACGGATGCTGCCAGACCCATTGATTTCCAGCATTTTTTTTTGTTTTCAGTGTAGCTAGGAAAAGTTTGGTATATATGCTGGAGGTAGGGGAGGGTGGGGGAAGGAATAAACAATAGGTGGAGATGAAGCCACAGAGAAAAACAGTTGGGTAGAGCAAGGGTCAAGCCTGGGAGAATCAATATCTGCTAACAGAGCCCATTAGTGGCTGATAATGGGTTGTTAGTGGTAGCAGCCCATGTGATGACAAGGCCTGGTGTGTGGGGCTTGGGGTAAGAACACGGAAGGTCGGGGTGTTCAGGTCCTAAAATTATTGAACTCGATATTGATACATTGATGTAACGCTGGTACTGTATAAAAGACTAATTAGACTACAGCTTAAATTATGTATACAGTACTGGTCACTGAATTGCAGGAAGGACATGACTGCTCTGGAAACAGTAGAGATTTATTAAAAAATATTGCTAGGACTTGAAAATTGAAGCCAAGAAAGATCGGATAAGATAGTTTTTTTTTGTTTACAGGATGTGGGCGTTGCTGGCTAGACCACCATTGAATGTCCATCTTCAATTGCCCAGAGAACTGTAAACAGTCAATCATATTGCTACCTGAGTCACATGTAGGCCAGATTGGGTAAAGACAACACACTTCCTTCCTAAAGGTCATTAGTGATTTAGCAGAGTTCTTACTACATTGGTTGCCATTAAAGACTTTTACTAATCCAGATTTTATTCAAGTTAAATTTCACCACCTGCCATGGGATTAATCTAGTTATGTTGCCACTACACCACCGCGTCTTTTGTTTTCCTTCAAACAAAGAAAGTTGTCGGGTGACCTCATTCAGGTGTACCAAAATGATGAGGGGCTTGGATAGAGTGGACAGGGAAGGTATCAGGGGCACAGATCGAAGGTACTGGACAGAAGTATTAGAGGGGCCACAAGGGTGCGAATAAATATTTTTACCTAGAGTGTGGTGGGTATTTCAAATTCATTCCTCAGTTTCATTGAGGAGGTAGAAACCCTCAACTCATCGGAAAGGTACCCAGATTTGCACCTGAGGTCCTGTAACCTACAAAGCTATGGGCCAGATATTGGAAGCTGGGATTAGAATGTGCACCTAGCATCTTTATCATCCTAGATTTGATGGGCTGAATGACCTCTTTCTGAGCCACAGATGTACGGTTCTAACAATTCCAAACATATTGTCTCTAAATACAATTTGAATTTATGCCTTTCAAATTAAACATCCGCACATTGGTTAAAAATTTAAATTTTAATTATTACAGATTTAAAGCATACTAAAGTAATAACTTTGCAGTAATGGAATATTACACTATATTCTGAACAACCACTACCATATCTTTGGACATATGCCATAATTTGTTTATTTTGTGCCAAATATATAAACATAGGGATGTCTCACAACATCTGTATATAGCATTTAAAAGATCACATTGGAATCTGTTCAGAGAAGGTTCACTCAGCCAATTCCTGGAAAGAGAGAGAGGGCTGTCTTTGAAGTAAGGTTCAGCAAGATGGTCTTATAGTCACAGGAGTTAAGTAGAATGAGGTAATCTTGTTGAAACATAAGGCTCGATGCTGAGAAGACATTTGTTTCGGTGCAGGAATCTAAAGTTAAAGGCCAGTTTAAAAGTAAAGAGGAATTTCCTTTAAGACAGATGAGGAAAGATTGCTCCTTTACAGCCCTTTCCCAGACAGCAGTAAGGAATGTGTCATTGACTACATTTCAAGGTAGTGTTAGATAGGTTTTTGATCAATAAGCTATTCCAAGGGTTATGAGAGACAGAAAGCACAATTAAGGACACAATCAGATCAGCCATAATATTATCAAGTAATGTAGTAGACTTGATGGCCAAATGGTCTACTCCTGCTGACAAAGTTCATTAGACCATTTCCACAAATCATTTGGGCAGAAAACTTCAAACATGGAATGTTCATTTCTGTGACAGTTGCAAACCAAAGCATTTGAATATTTTATTATTTAAACCATGATATTACAGATATTGTTAACAGCTAATATTTTCCTTTGACTTCACCTGTAGCTCAGCAACTTAGTTGATGTGGCATTGGCTGATAAATGTTATTTGCATTCACTGAAAATCAGAACAAAATGTGCACTGCATTTCATTTAAGCATCTTAATAGCAACAGTGAGCATGTTAATCATCTTCATGTCCATTCCATTTTAGTGAAATTATAATGTGAAAAATGACCAACACGTTTGTGCCAACTTATTTTCTCAACATTGAACACATATGAATTTGCCACTGCTTAAACTTTACCAACCATTAAGTAATTTGTTTCTTATCTAGTTCCATATCGTCATTTGCCATTGATAAAAGGAATGTAATAGACATAACAATGCATTTTAGGAGAGAAATAAATATAGATCCTAAATAGGGACGAAGCTTGGAAATAGAATAAAGCTGGTTAAGATAAAAAGATGCATAAAACACTGCCAAAAAAAGAACAATTTGGTGCTCAATATGAAAATAAGTAATGTTCAGATATTCAAAGAATGGACAGGAAAAGGAAATTAGATGCCATAACCCCCAAAAATGGTACAGAATCAAAAACATGCCTTTATGTGGCTACACTAAACCATTAACTACTTGCGAAAAACTTGGTAAAATGATGTCCACTATAGTTGGATGCTAAAAGCTTGTTCTAATACTAAACTAAGCACCTTGGTTCTCACTTTTGTGAAAGATGGAAAAGTTGTACTTCATGAACATGTAATGGTTTCACTAGCAAATTGAAAACATGTTGCTTTTGCGCCATGAACTGCTTGAATTGTATAGTCATTTGTCATCCCTCATCCCCTTCACCTCAATTTTACTGCCACAATGTTCAGTTTAGGCCATAATAAAGAAAAGACAAAAAAGCAGTTAAATACTTTGAATAGGCAGGTGTTTATTTTGTTCAGGCTTTGGGTTTTTATTTTACATTATCAAACAGAGCTGAGGTACTAGTGATATTTCGGACAAAAATTTTTCTTTTCATAACTTCAAGGGTTATCATAGTAACAAGACATACGCAAAAGTAGTAATGAATATACAGTTGCATGGGTACAACAGTCAAGCCAAATAAGCCATATTCTGTTCAAAAACCAGTACTACCGAAACTGCACACTACTGCACCACAGAAGCCTTGATAGCTTAATTTGTGAAAGAATTTTCAAATCATACTTGAGAAAAATGCTGCTCTCGAAACAGTGTTCACAAGCTTGTTAGTTTTGTCAGTGTATAAAGAAGTTCTGATAAAAATCAGCATGCTCTTGTTTGGTCAAAGAACTTCCTCAGTTGAGCTTGAATAATAATTATTTAATTAGCTATTTAGATATTTCGGTGAAAAAGAATTTAGTGTTATTTTCTTGTACTCCCAAGAAAAACGTTTTACATAAAAATACAAATGGCAAAAACATCAAAAAATTAACCCAAGCCACACCATCTTACAGTATTTTCAGTAGCAAAATTATGAAAAAATTAGTAACCTAACAATGGATAAGCAAAAAATTACAGCTCTGGCATGCAAGGCTGGGAAGTAGCCATTTCCAGGCAAAATCCCGAACTTTGATCGATGTCTCATGAAAACCAGGACATCTCTATGCCCGTATATGCCACACCAAAAGTAAGGCAGAATTATGATTCTTAGCAACAAGGAGACCAACCATACCTGCAGCCCTACTTTAACAACGCATGGGGTGTAGGCACTTAAAGGATGCAAAAAATCCCAACTGGAGGGCATGACAGTTCCATTTGTTTATACTTTCTCCAATAGGAAAAAGTGGTGTACAGCATTAACTGGAAACAGTTTCTCCACCCCACAACCAGTTAGTCTAAACATACTTCACATACTCAGATCAGAAAGAATGCCATAAGTAAAATAAAGCTATTATGTTCATGAAGTAAAACCTAAAAAAAAAAATCAATTGGTCACACATCTAAAAGATTTAAAAACTGGAGTACAGAATAAATTAAAAAGTGGGGAGATAATCCAAGTTAAATAAAAATGCTAAATAATAATTCTGGGTGTTAGTCAAACCACACAGAATTACAAACTTCTAACCAAAATGGAAGCCCTAGAACAAAAAGGCATAAAAGATGCATAATTTTACAAGTCTTGCATGTGAAAGTTTTCCTTCCTTCAAATGCACAATTGAAGTGAAGTGATCTCTGTATGCTAGATGACATTTTAAGTGTGCGCAAGTGAGCAAAGAGAACTTTCCACCGTCCACAGCACAAAGATTTGATTTTGATCTTGATCTTTTTCTGCCCATTCAATGCAAATTCATTTAGCTGGAAATAGTGCATAATTATTTGAAAATGCACATCTGAGTGGCCATCGCCATCTTAGTACACACAACCAAACGATTTGACAGAATTTTATAAAAGATGTTGGGCTCAGAACGTGCTATAAAAGGAATTCAAAATTGCATTATAGATGAATCATGCACATAATGATCTGGGTGTTATATCACAAACTGGAACTGTTAAAACTAACAGATTTTTTGTAAAGTTTAAGTGATGTTTGGTGTAAATTAAGATTTTTTTAGTTCTCTTTGCACCCTTGAGAAATTTAGTTTTGTCAACAGATCACAATGAGAAACCTATCATTTAAAACAATTAAAAAGGTCTAATTCACTGGTGTCTCATTGTTCAGATAATGTAGTCAATGTCATAAAGCCACTTAGCATTCAGATGTTATCTGCATAAACTGTCCTTTACACTAAACAGTTACAGAATTCCATCATTAAAAGTGCAATATTATACAACGCAAAGAACAAAATGTGTCTTCTGATTAAAAGTAAACTGATGCAAGTTGAGTTTTGGCAATCACATATTTTTGTATTTATTCCCAATGAAGACACTGACATTTTCTCCACGTTTGTGCTAGTGAAGCTAATAGATCAATTACAAGACAGCCAGCAATGATGAATTGCAATACTTTACCAACAGGGTAAGATTACTAGCCAATATTCACACTGTGGTGGATGGTAATGACAAATAAGCAGTGGCCTACAGAGCCGATATTAGCAAGAGCACCCTCCCTCACTGACTGGTTGCTCTTGGGTCTTTTCCAGTTTTATATCGATCACTGAAAGTGAATGGTGTTAAGGAAACTTACCACGCACTGCCAATTTCCAAATTGAAAAATTGACCCCTTTAAACAAAATCTTTTGAACTAGCAACTATAACACAAGAAACCCAAATGAAATCCAGTTTGAAACACTGTCCCTGAAACATACTTGCAAAGTGTATCAATTTTAAAAGGAAGACAAGTTTTAAGTGACATGGTATCAAGCGAAAGAAATTCAAATCTCAGAACTAAACTTCACCATTACTGCTAAAAACAACTTAGGAAATGAACAGATAACATATTTGACAAGCCTGATAAACATCCACTTCATTCAATTCCCCTCTGCCTTCTCTTCACTCCACTAGTCTCTCTTGACTAGTTTTCTGGCACTTCCAAACGACCATTGGAGATTGAATATTTAGGTAAATGCAAGGGAGTAGTCAAAGTTTTGGCAAAGGTCTGTAGCTCGGGTTGTGGCTGAGCTGGCTTGCGCTCATTCAGATGTTTCATCAACATGCTAGGTAACATCATCAGTGGAGCCTCTGATGAAGGACATTATTCTACTCTGCTACAACAAACACTCAAGGATTAAAGACCCCATTCCCACAACATGCAGAACCAATGTGGTTTACAAAATACCATGCAACGACTGCCAGACACATTACATTACATCGGACAGGAAGGAAACTAGCCATCAGAATACATCAACATCAACTAGCAACAAAACGGCATGACAAACTCTCCTTAATATTGATACACTCAGACAATGAAGGCCATCAGTTTAACTGGGGAAAGGTAACCATAGTAGCCCAAGCCAAACAAACATGCACGGGAATTCCTAGAGGCATGGTTTTCCACTTGTAATGCAATCAACAAACAAATAGAATTGGACCCTATTTACAAACGCAAACAACACTACTCACCATAACAGACCAGACAGTATAAATTCCAAGCGGAGTAGAATAACATCGCTTCAACGGAGGCTCCACTGATGTCACCTAGCATGGTGACAAAATATCTAAACAAGAACAAGGCAGCTCAGTGAGCAAGTCAACAACCTAACCTAAATATTCATTTGTCCATGGGATGTGGGTGCCGTGGGCTTTAAATGCTGGCCTAGCCAATCTCTAATTACCTGGGAGAAGGTAGTAACAAGCTGATTATTTGTACCCTGCAGTCCTATAGTGTTAGGCACAGAACTCCAGGATTTTGACAGGCAACTATTAATCAATAATAAGATAATCCCAAGACAGCACGGTGTCGGTTGGAAGGGAAATTGCAGATGGTATTTTTCCACGTATCTGGACCTCTTATAGTCCTTGGTTGCAGAGGTCAAGGACTGGGAACGTGTTATCAAATGAACCTTATGAATTACTGCAGTGCATCGTGTAGATGGTACATATTGTTGCCAATGTGCATTGGTGGTGATGGGAGTGAATGACGGAGGTAGTGGACTGGATGCCAATCTAACAGGCTGCCTTATCCTGGCTGCTATTAAGTTTTTCCCAAGTGTTTTTGGAGCTGCACTCATTCAGCCAAGTGGCAAGTATTTCACATTCCTGATTTATCCCTTGTAGATGTCTGAAATAGGTTGGCCTAGAACAATACCCTGAGGAATTCCTGCAGGTGATGATCTGGGGGCTAGGATGGTTGACCTCCAAGAACTACAACCCTCTCGTTTTACTCCAGGTATGACTCCAAACAGTAGAGAAATTCCATTTCCTCACATGGAAATACCAGCATTATAGAACGTAAGGAGATTAATTCAAACATGAGAAGTAAATAAAGACAAACATTCTGCTAAAGCTACTTAACTTTTGCCTAAGTTGAGCAAGAAACTACAATTTTGCTGTATTGAACAGATATATTTCAGCAAAAAAAGTTTAACAGGACAAGCCAAGGAAAGGATACTGTCTTCTCTGCTCTTATCCTGTGTGCTTTCCATTCCAGGCAAGGCAGCAGCTACACGCCGGAAAAGCTGGGGGAAGAGGTAGAGGTAAATAATATTGGACTTATGATTTTTATTCATAATTTAGTTTATAGAAAACTGTAGAAAAGTTGATTAAAATTAGAAAACTGAATTAAAAATTAGAGGGGGAAGCTTGGCTATAATTAGGAATAAAAATGTAAGAACAGAAATTAGGCAATTCAGGACCTTGAAATTGTTCTGCATCCTTAAGCAAATTTGAAAAGTCACAACCAAAGCCAGATATCATCAAGCTACAAGAGATCAATGCAGCAAGGATAAATTTATACAAATTCCCATATCATCAAATGCGATACAAAAATAAATTGCAGAAATAGGTTAATAGACCAAATACAGCATGCCTTTCAGGCAAAAGTCAAAATACTGCAGATGCTGAAAATCTGAAACAAACAGAATTCTGGAGAAACTCAGGTCTGGCAACATCTGTCGGAAGAGAAACTGAGTTAAAGGCATTTATACAAAAGTTTTGCATTAAAAAGTGGTCTAGAGAACCTCTACACAAATTTAAAATCAAACCTCCAAATATTGGAATGTTTTATAATTGAGTAAAACTATGCAGGAAAATTCTCCACTTGGACAAGGAGTCTGTGGAAACCAAATCTGACCGTAAGACAAAAAGTCTCAAGAAAGTTTACTTCACATATGCACTAAAATTGCTACATAGAACATAACAGCGCAGTACAGGCCCTTCGGCCCTCGATATTGCGCCGGCCTGCGAAACCAATCTGAAGCCGATCTAACCTAAACTATTCCATTATCATCCACATGTTTATCCAATGACCATTTAAATGCCCTTAAAGTGGGCGAGTCTACTACTTTTGCAGGCAGGGCATTCCACGCCCTTACTACTCCGAGTAAAGAACCTACGTCTGACATCTGTCCTATATCTATCACCCCTCAATTTAAAGCTATATCCCCTCATGCTAGCCATCACCATCTGAGGAAAAAGGCTCCCACTGTCCACCCTATCTAATCCTCCGATCATCTTGTATGTCTCTACAGATAACTACTAACATATTGACTTTTATGAACACCGAAGAAATAGTCACAGTGAATGCATACTTTTTGGACTGGAGCAATGTTTGCAAGCTAGATTCCCCAGAAATCAATATTTGGACCACTTTTTACTTTCCTTGATCTAGATTTTTGACCTAGACTTGCATTGCCCAAGGCACAATTCTGAAATTTGCAACTGGCAAAAAATGTTGAAAATTGTGAATCATAAGTAGAAGAGAAATAGACTTCAAGGGGAAAGACAGGTTGGTGGAATGGCAGGTACGCGGCAGATGGAATTTTATGCAGAGAAGTATGAAGTGATATTTTTCAGTAGGAAGAATGAGAAGAAACAACAAAGGATACAATTTTAAAAGGGCATTCGAGGGGGTATACAGGAGCAGAAGGAGCAGAGATCCTGCATGCTTAAGTTGTTGAAAGTGGTAGTGCAAGTTGAACAAAGTGACAAAGGATACATGGGATCCTGTGCTTT